GGAACTACGATATAACTCGAGACGAGAAGGTTCTTTGTTTCTTCGATTCATTTTCCACATTTCTAACGGAAGAACAGACCTGGGCGCGGTCGCACGAAATCAAGCCGACGAATCGAAAAAAGCCATAAATTTTGGCTCTCCACCCCTATCGTGCAAGTGTGGTCCACATGCGGGAAATGATGACAATCGCAAATACGTACAGACACTTTATTCAATAACAAAGGCTTCATACAATGTTTTTCATACAAAATATGCCATGTTCTAGTTTTATGTACTTTATGAATTTGTTTGTTCTGTTTTACTGACGCTTTCCAAGTCCTATTTTCTAGTCACTGACGTTTTAGCTTTGCAAATTCTATAATAGGCGCATTTGTATATGCTTCACTTGTTTATCGCTTTAATTCCAGCTTCTTTTTCAATTTTTCTCTCATTTTGCTGGCTGTTTTTTCCAATTTCTACGCCTGTATTCACGTGTTATTTTCTGCTTTGTTATTTTTACAATGCTTTTCCCTATATGTACTTTTATTATTGCTCTCAAACATCTGATACCACTCAATTTCATGCATATTTTGCTGACAAAACCACGTGTTCATTCATTATTTTAATCATTTGCGATTAGTTATTTTCATCTAATCAATGTGTGAAACTAGTCATGGTTAGAAGCTTTTAGCCATATTGAAGACCACCAAAATCCTAAGTTGCTGAGCGATTTTTCTGAAGTATGTTCGGCGCCATCCAAGGAATTTATAGTACATCATATATTTGCCATTGAATATCGAAAAACTATATATAAGCTGTACTTTGCATAGAGCAAATACCAGTAATAAAGTTTGAAGAGGGATTTCTTGAAGGAATACGAGTGCTTGAAACGCTTTCACGACTCCCACGTAAAACTGCTGCTTTGACGAGGCTAATCTTATTGTAAACGTATTATATTCTTTTTCAATGGAAACACTATAGAAGAATTATCATCATGTCAGTACGATTGACTGAGAACATTTGCATCGAAAAAAAGTTTCTTGATTGTTGTTACTGGCTGAGTACAAATAAGTAAGGTGGTAATAAATATAATCAATCTAACATGTTTTATATGAAAACGATCGACGCAAAAAATTGAAAAAGTTGTCTTTCATTCATAGAACAGTAGTATATATGGTAATATTGAGCAATACGCGGTCCTGTCAT